CCCTGACAAGGGCTCAAGGAATGAGGAGGAGGATTTTGTAAAAACTTAACTATGATTAACTAACTTAATAACTTAACTTTAGATTCATTATAACTCCCTAGTACTCTCAATAACTTTTAAGTTATTTTATTATATCCATCAAAGTGATTACAAGATAGAGCGGTGGGTGGTCCAAGGAAGGTCAACGCCAATGTAGCAGATCTCCACAGCGCTCAGTAGACATCACGAAAAAGCTTCTCAACAAACTGTATACTAAGGCATTACATTTAACAGATAACTGCGACCAGTGGAGAAATATCATTAATGAAACTATCCAAGCTGCTGAAGCTTAATGATGAACCACAATACATCTACTATGTTGTTTAAATGTGACTTTTATGACTGTTAAAACACTAGATATGGCACCTTAGTGAATATATGATATACTTATAGGTTTTAATACTAAAATTAGAATAAGCTACAACAACGTTTGTCAAATTTATACAAGTAATACAGGCTGCAAGCGCGCCTTGATAAATTTCATTAAAACATTTGAGAGATAGATACTCTTTGAAATTGTCAATATAGTGAACATATAATAATTGCCATAGATGATCTATTTTTTATAGCTGGAATAATAGACCACGAAATGGTAAATGACAAAAGATATAAAGTGTTTAAGATAATAATTGAATAAAAAATGCCTTATAGAGAGAGACCAGGATCCCTTAGCTAATTAACCTGGCGGCATGGTTTTAAACAATTACTACAGAGCTGTTTTGCGCTGCTATCAATAAAGTAAAAAAGAAGCCCTATGATGATGATACAACTTTAGTAGTCACAAAACTATATATTCTAATGGTTCACTAAGTTTTGTTCCTTGAACGATTCCTTCATGGTCTAAAAAAATTCTGAGTCAGAAGAATAAGAAGTATTATCTAGCACATGGTTGGAAATATTAGAAAAGTATATAGTTAACCACCCTGTATAAATAACATCAATATAAGATTACACTTATTTTAAATTGATTTTGTAAGGTATTCATCGCTTTGAATTGTCAAATTTATTTGATCTTCTTACTCCTTGTGCAATCTCCAAATGATCCCATAATTAAGAATAAAAAGAATCATTTCGTTCCTGTGAACACTATTCAATACACTGAGGGTTTATAGAAATCGGCGTACATCCCTAAAAACTCTTCACATAATTAGAGAGCGGAGTCAAACACATTTTTACAACAGCTTAAACTTAATGATGTGGGTTTTATATAATTGTAAGAGTTCAGAAACTTCAAAGGAGAATTTTCTTTCATGGAAATTTCAAGTTGACGGTTTTGATGTCGAGTGGAAGTAGCGAAGGGAAAAGTTAGTTTTGAAGAAATATATTTGAATGCCTGGAGAAAATATTGTTACATGTAGTAGATTAAAAAATATTCACATCAAATACATACATGTACTATAATTTAGTACGACCTAGAAAACAATAATAATCGTTTTAATCTATGCAAACTATTTTTACATATACTAATGTATAATTTTTTATTGGGAATAACCCACATCAACCATAGAAGGACATTAGCGTTGGTACAATATAGACTATACTATATTATAAAGATTAATATAAAATATAAACTATAAAGTTTTTACAAGGTTAATTATAATTTAGAATTTTTCTTAAAGTATCACTTATATTTGATTATACAATTTCGTTTTCTTTAAAAACCTAATGATTTTGTCACAATCCGCACTGTCTAAAGCGCAGTTTATATCACTTGGTTGTCCAGTAGCTTGTCTTTCCATTTGATATATTGGGCAGTCTATAACAATGTGGCCTACAGTTATATTAGTGTCACAGACTTAGCATGTTCTAGGAGGTTCCTTCCATAGTAGATGTTTGTGCGTCAGTCTGATATGTCCTATTCGATGCAGTACATACGATGTAGTACAACCTGGTCCCTTGGCTTTACTAAAATTGGTGTTTTCACTGATAGATCTGGGTTTGCTTGTCGCTATTTATTATTTGGTAAGAGTTGCCATCTTCGTAACCATAAGTTTCTTGTGTTCTCATTGATGCATTTTTTTATATCCGAGTGAGGAATTTGGTTAGTTCTATCATCGGATCTCTCCATTTTACAAGCTTCTTTGGCCATTTGATCAGCTTTCTCATTTCCTGGTACCTCCACATGAGATGGTATCCACAGAATATGTAGTTGTTTATGATTATGAATCGGATGATTCGGATATATTTTCTTAATTCTCTGGATTGCACTTAAGAAACCTGTGAATATTACTGTCATGTCTTCAGGTCGATTAAAAGTTTGTTGTACTGCCTTGGATATCGCAAAAATCGGCAGAATTTATTGAGTAGTCTTTAGGTAGTGGACACTTGAGCACAGAATCCTCTGTGACAATGACGGATCCTATTGTTTCCAATTCGGGTGTTTTTGATGCATCGGTATAAATTAGTTGACAGTCATTGTCCTTAGTATAAGTTGACAGATTTGTGTTACAATATAGAATTTGTATAGTCTAAGGGGGAGCATAATTAATATTGGTGTGCATAATACCCGGAAATGTGAAGTTGCTAATGCTTTTGCTAAATGATGGTCGAAGATTAGGATTTTGATTCTAATCAGAGTGGAAATGTTGGAGAAAGCATAGGGTAAGGCTGGGTTGTTTGGATTAGTTTGAATTATATATATAGTGAGTCTAGTTTGTGACATAAATCTTTACTTTGTGAGGACAATAATTTTATTACAACTTCGCTCGTCACTCCACAGCTGATTAGTTTGATTATCCTCAAATCAGGTGATTTTAGTTTTGCGAACAAACTTTGGCTTGTCTAGAAGAAATTTTAACAGATTTTTCTACCTCAGTAAGTTTTTATTTTAACATAATATGTTGCCTCCATTTAAATATAGATGTTTCATAAAAATATTTAAAAAAAAAGTACAAATGCAGGGTCTACTTTGTGATACACAGAATATGACAAAGTAACCCCTTGTGCGTTAATTAAAATATTAATATTATTTTTTTTTATATATATATAATGTCACGCATCTACGAAAGAGCCGCAACTACGTTGCGAGAACGTAACCAAGGGAAGTTATTAGAAGCTATACATCAGGAGTAAACGAATTTTACTTCGAGGTGCTGCAGAAAAATATATTATGCCTTGAAATGCTTTGGGGTTAAAAATTAAAAATAGGCATACGAAAAGCATGAACATCAAAAAGTGTTTAGTGAACAAGAGGAAAATGCGTTTGTAGTCCATGTAACTATTGTATCAGCTTTTGGTTTTCCAGTAACTACTTTTGACCTTCGGTGTATTGTAAAATAGGTTTTAGATCTGTAAGGCAAAAATGTTAAATCATTTAAAAACAATATGCCAGTATTGAAATTGGTAAAATCATTTTTAAGACGACATTGGCCACTTTCCAAAGGATGGCGCAAAATATGTCACATGCTAGATACTGATGAAGAAAACATAAATGACTTCTTTGATAATTTTGATAATTTGAAGGTTGAACTAGATGCATGTAACATTTAAAAATATGATAAAACCAATCATGTCGATAATCCAGGACAAACGTAAATAATAACTAAGATAGGAATAAAGTATCCCGAACGTATTAGAAACGCATCTAAAGCATGTACTTCTTTAATAGCATGTGGCGTATAATAGGACGGCTTCAGTATGGTTTGATTATCAAGTTTTTGAGAACTGGTTTCTACAACTACTACTTCCAAAATTAAAACGACAAGAGAAACGAAAGGCAATCAAAGAAAACAATCTTAGTTCACATTTAAATCAGCAGATCATTCAAAATCGATTTACTAAGAATATGTACGCCGTAGAAAAAATTGTTTCAAATAAAAAATGTAGCTAAGGTAATTTTAAACAAAAATGTTTATTCGCGTTTTTGTGTAGAATGAATCGTTCTCTCAGAAACAACGCTTGAAGCGACCGTCCATTTTGAATGTCAGTTACGCGCGAGAAATCAATGTTCAGATTCTTAGTAAATCGATTTTTTTTGTATTTTCCACTCTATAAGGGGGCGTTTTGGGGAAAGCCCGGGAATAAAAGTGGTAAACTATTTGTATTTTTTTTTTTGGCGTTCCAAAATTAATATTCTTGGGAAAATTTAGCTTGTTTGTAAGATTTTTAGAGTCCGAGATTTTTAGAATCCGTACATGTTTATTACGAACATACTTTTCACCTAGCCAGAAAGATTTATTTGGCAGAAATAATTTAATAGCATTAATGCGGCTATGTAAATCGATCAAATAAATTTATTTAATGGAAGCAGAGAGTGATAGGTGAAAGTTCAAAAACAATTGGATAAATTAAAACAATAACATGATAAATACATGCACAACGATTTTATATGATAATTCGCAGAATTTATTAATTTTTGTTATTGAGTTACACAAATTAATAGATACCAATATAATGGTTAACTTTTTAAATCAGTTGAATTCAGCATTGTGAATAGAATTAAAATAAATGTAACATTTAAATAATTCATCATTTTTTCTGAAATAAAGGTATTCAGTAAAAACAAAATAAATAATGATTAAACAAAAGGGCTTTTAAAATATCTTTTAAATTACAGATTATAAAACGGAAATATTTTATAAATTTAAAACACACATTACAACATACTGTATGCTAGTACTCATAGAAAAAAGTAAAATTCTGCTTGCACTGTTTTTGGGTAAATTGATTTTATCATTGGTTATTACTTGCTGATAGCACCTTAAAAACAACAAGGGCTCATAGAAACGAAATAATCAAAATCTCGGGTAACGGACGAATAAATGAGAGAACAAATTTTCTTCTTCTTCTTCTTCGTGCGATTAAAATTACTTCTACTTGTCTGCCTCTTATTCTGTTTCAGTCGTTGTTGACTGTACATTATCTTTCACCTTTTTGGCCACCTTCCCACGGGTCTTCTGCTATACGGTTTGTTGTTTTTACAGATATTCGCTAAGCTATCTGGTCGCATTCGGTTTACTTACAAGTTCGTTCCAGTTTTTTTTCTTGTTTTTATCCACCTGTTAATATTTTGAATTTTGCATTGTTCGCGTATACTTCTGTTGGTTTGTCTGTCTCTTAATGATATGTCCGCTATTGATCCTAATACTTTCATTTCGATGTTGTTGATTTTTGTTTCGTCTTTCTTGTATCGATTCTTGTCTCCGCTGCATATGTTAGGATTGGTCTTGTATACTTTCATTTTGCTTTCCGTGGTCAGATATTTGTTTCCCCATATGGTTTCTCAGAGGCAACCACTTACTCTTGCCGCTTTTGATGCTTGCCTTGTGGTTTCTGTTCTTATATCCCTATCACTAGTGATCTCTACTCCTAGGTAATTGAATTTCATTACTTGTTCTACAATTTTGCCGTATATTTCTACTTTGCATCTACGGTAGGGATGCCTCTTGTCACCCCTGCTTTTTAACGTTTACTCCGAAAGAATTTTCAGAAAAGCACTTTCTGAAAAACAAGAAGGAATACTTGTGAACGGCGAAGTCATCAATAATTTGCGATATGCGGACGATACAGTACTCATAGCTTCTAGTCAAGAAGATCTGCAAACACTACTTAATAGTGTCGTTGAGAGTGGTAGGGAGGCAGGTCTGGATCTTAACATAAGGAAAACCAAAATACTTGTAATAAGTAAACAACAGAATATAAAACCGTCTATATATGTAAATAATACCAAACTTGAGCAAGTTGATAAAATCGTCTACCTTGGACAGCAATTAAATTGTAATGCAGAAAATCACGGCGAAATTAGATCCAGAATAGAGCAGGCTAGAGCTGCTTTTAGAAGGATGTCCAAGGTATTATGTAACAGAGACCTAAAATTGGCATTAAGGATCCGCCTACTTCGCTGCTACGTGTTCTCGGTCTTACTTTATGCTGTCGAGTCCTGGACTGTGAATAAAATCGATCTAAATCGCCTTGAGGCTTTCGAAATGTGGTGCTATAGAAGAATTTTAAAAGTTTCCTGGGTGGAGAAGATTCGTAACTCCACAATACTTGAACGTCTCAGCAAGTCCACTGAGATCATAAAAAGCATCAAGCAGAGAAAGCTGGAATATTTCGGACATGTAATGAGAGGTCCCAAATATAGATTGCTACAAAATATCATGCAAGGAAAAATAGCAGGCAAACGCAGTCCAGGACGAAGAAGCACCTCATGGTTGAAGAACTTGCGAGAATGGTATGGTGTAGATACAAGCATGCTATTTAGGTGGTAGTGAATAAAATTAAAATAGCTATGATGGTAACCAACGTTCTGAAAGGACATGGTACATGAAGAAGAAAGAAGATCTAGGCGGCTCTTTACTGATCACTATACACTTAGTTTTTTCTATTGATATTCTCATATTAAGTTTGTTTGCTATGATATTGAAGGTGTGGAGCTGCCTTTGTAGGTAATCTTCGTTATCAGCAATTAGTACTGCATCATCGGCATAGCATAGTATCGTGATTTTATGCGCTTCCATGTGGTATCCGTGTCGTTTTCTTACTTCGTGAATTATTTGATTCGTTACCATATAATAACAATGGGCTGAGCGAGTCTCCTTGGCGGATTCCTCCTTTTAGTTCTATGCATTCTGTTTCTCCTGTTAGCATTATAACTCTGGTCTTGTTGTTTTTGTTAATTTCATTAATTGTCCTTATTCTCTGATGGTCGATATTTTCAGCTTTTAATAAATTTAACATGTCACTTCGCTTCACCCTGTCAAAAGCACTTCTTAAATCTACAAAGCACATGTATGCTGGTTTTCCATATTCAATAGACTTCTCTATTATTTGTCTGATAAGAAAGCAAATCAAGCTATGAAAATTAATAGGCTGAAGAGATATAGCTAAAAATTAAATAAACAATAGTACAACAATTAAGTATACAACCGTATAAATTAATTAAGTCACTTATCTACATTAACAATTAACGCTAGTTTTTTGCATTTTTTTGTTTTCAAAAAAATAAATAAATCAATTTAACTAAATTTATAAGTTGTTTATAGTTTATTGACCCAGGAAACGAAGCCGAAAAATCACTTGAAAATTCGGAAAATTACTGGGCAGTGGGCAGTAACTGGAAAATCTGAGGAAAGTCAATAGAAATCTCGTGGGTATTAAAATTTTTACTGTTTCATGTTTTTAATAACATTTAAGCAAAAAAATCTAGATGAAAACATTAAACAGAGGACTTTCTCGAAAACACTTGCTCTTTTTTAAATTAAAAATTTCTTTTTAACAAAAAAGTTATTGCAAATTAAATCCGAAAGTAAGCATTTTTTCAAAAATAAGCAATGAAATATTTTTTTCTGTAGTTTCTCTAATGGCTATAGATGGGCTTGACCCGTTAACTAGTTTTAAAACAATTCTATTTGTTTATCCCATTTTAAGGAAAAATGGTCGTTTTCAAGTGGCTGTACAGGTGCTTTTTTAATATTTAGAATGGATTTTTTGGTCTGATTATGTTTCTAATATCTCAAATTTTCTTGTTTTTAAAAAAGTATAATAATTGTCTGCTGCTGGACATAGGTCTGCCTTAACTTTTTTTATTGGTATCTGTCTTTAGCGTCCAAGACTGGCATCTTGTTACAACTAACACACCTTCCACCATACAATAATACCCATCTTCAAAAGGGGTTCAAAAGTTAGGACAGGAAACTTCAAAGAACTATTTTTTATAAAGTTATAAAGTTATTTTCCGATATATTTAAAAGAACTAGAAGAACTAATAAAAATCAAGGAAGAGCAACAGGGTTAAGAAAAGGCAGATCTACAACTGACATACTGTTTAGGATAAAACAAACGAGAAAAAAATTGATAGGATTTAACATAAATGCTTATATGCTTCGTAGATTTAACAAAATCATTCTACAGAACTTCTACATACTTAAAAGAATATATATAGCAAACAATTTAAAGGCTTTAGTATAATTAACGCAAATAATGAAATCAAGAATCCAAACAAAATAGACTATATTTAAATAGAAAGAAATCAGATAAAGTAACACTGTTCTTTTAACCTAAGTACATTGATTTTTAATTTATACATGGCTCAACTAAAAGAAGGTTTAACCGCTCGCTAGCTCTTAAAATATGATATAAAAAGAAGGAGTGAATTGGCTTCTCACTGCTTTGCAGTTGCCGTGTTTGTAATTGCATAAATTTGATCACTCAGTTGCGAACATGACATAATTATATCAATTCAAAAGACAAAATTCATGACCATAACTAGGGAGTCAATAATATGAAAACAGATAGTAAAACACGTATTAAAGTTTAAGTATAAAAACATTAACAACCAAGATCTGAAAATAATTAGAAATCGTTACTAGAATCACACCATAGTCTTTGCGAACAACTTAGAAGACCTACAAGTTCTTATGAACAAAATCACGTATTACAGTCAATAATATGGACTCAATATAAACGTTAAGAAGACAAAGCTTATGATAATTAACAAGAAATTGATATCAGAAGGTCAACTTTACGTCAACCAATCTCCTGTAGAAAGGGTAGAAAGAGTATATGAAGAATGGACCACCAACCAGGAGATTAGAGCACGCATCGGAAAAGCTAGATCTACCTTCAATCGGATGGAGGCCTTCTTCAAGAGCCACAACCTCTCTCTTGATACAAAAGTAAGAATGCTGCGATGCTACGTCTTCTCTGCCATTTTTTATGGTGTTGAATCGTGGACCTTGAACGAAAATATGTGGAGCAAACTGGAAGCATTTGAGATGTGGCTATATCGGAGAATGCTTAACCCTACAATGTGCAATGTAGCTGATCTGATACAACTGTATTTAAACCCACTTTATTTATTTGTGTATACAAATATTTCTCCGCTGCACATTGTAGACGTTCAGATTCACCTTTATGCAGCTCTTCAATAAGGAACTGTATTTTTATTCTCGTTGCGCGGTCAAACTGTTGCCACATTCCACTACCGTTGTCGGCTTGTGTTGCACGTGGTAATTTTTTAGTGAAGAATTTTATAATTTGTAATTATTTTCGTTGAGTTTTTTTCTGAATTTTTGGACGATTCAAGTGCTATAAGCTTTGTATTTAAAAATCAAAGTCATGCATTATTCAAATAATATATTTCACTGTACATCCCTTTAAAATAGACGTATCAGATCTGATACATTGTGCTTAAATGTAAATTTTATTTGCAGCGCCCACTTCATTCAAAATGATGCGGAAGTTTGATATGAAGAAGATTCTCAGTGAGAAAGAATTGGAAGAAATTGCTGAACACTTTTTCGATAGTGAAGACGACTTAGATGATCTAGATATTAATGAAGATGACTTAGGTGAGTTGAATGATAATGACTTACTTTCTCTGCCAATTGAATTGGAAGATGGCACGGTTTTACAAGATGTCGTTAATGATGATATGCGAGTAGAGGAAGAAGAATATGTCGAAAATGATGAAATTACAGAACTAGTTTCAGAAGTTCCTAAATTTAATAAAGCAATGTATAAAAATATTTTATGGCATAAGAAAAATCTAATTCCAAACAAAGATGCTTTTAAATTTAGAGGTAATACGGAGTTACCAAATAACATAAGTGATCTTGAAACACCGTTTTTATTCTTCCAGTATTTTGTTGGCCCAGGTCTCGTATCAAGAATTGTTGATGAAACCAACTATTATGCTTTGGAGAAGGATCCAAATAGACCAGCTAATATAACTGAAAATGACATCAAACAATTTTTAGGAATATGCATTTATATGTCTATAGTACATATGCCCGACGTCAGAAATTATTGGTTACCTACACTTGGATTTGATAAAATAAGTAGTGTTATGAGTTACAATAAGTTTGTGAAGATTGAAGTTACCTGCATTTTAATAAAAACTCAGAAATGAAACCAAGAAATTACCCTGAGCATGATAGATTACATAAGTTACGACCCATCATCGATGAGCTGAATGAAAAATTCCAATCTGTTCCGTTACAAGAGTACCTTTGTGTTGACGAGCAGTTATGTGCAACTAAAGGTAGACGTTACATAAAACAGTATCTTCCTGCGAAACCTCATAAATGGGGATACAAACTATTTGTACTTTGCGGAACAGACGGTTTTTCGTATAAGTTTTGGATTTTTACT